CCGCGACCGGTGAGCTAGAGGCGAACGTCCTATTCACTGAGCCATCGGGTCGACGTCTTGCCGGTTGTCGATCGGGATATAGAATAGTACATAGGTGTACTCCGATCTGTTCCACTATTCACCAACCCTGGCTGTTGCGTCAGGCGAGGGGATTTGACACTTCAAGTTTTTATTTAAGATGAAACAATTATGTTACTCACTAAGTTTAAGTATCCAATTTATTACCCGCAAACGTTAGGAGTTCGGGATACGCGTATTTCAAGCTCATTAGCTTTTGTCAGCTGCAGTTACCCGACTCCAGTATAGCCACAGAAACTGCCGCTACACTCGAATTTCGTACCCACGACCATTGAGCTAGAGACGAACGTCCTATCCACTGAGCCATTAGGTCGACGTGTTGCCGGTTATCAATCGGGATATAGATTAGCACACAGGTGACAACAATCTGGTTCAGGATACACCAACCCTGGTGGGACATCAGTGGGGAGGATGTTGAATTCTCCACACAACTTCTGCCGACTTTTCGAATCCCGCATGATCCACAAGTGGGATTAGGTATCCCTCGCTGATGGCGGCTGATGAGCTAGGAATGGCCATCCCGGTCTCCCTTTTCTTTGTCAGATCCATTTCCTCCTAGTCCAAATAAGCGCCATGCGATTGCCTGCGTGGTCTCGCTGCAGGACAAAACCCGAACATTCCACACTTAGATCGGCGATCCCCACATATTCACCACTTTGTACACTTATTTTATTTAAGTTCTCCACGTGGTATAAGCGTATTCAATGAAACATGCTCGCTACCACTTCTGATGGTCTGCATCGAAAATAATAAATTTTATGATTCGTTCAGCACCAGAGCCTACACCAAAGGATGTGCGCAACAAGCTTTTACGGCTGCCAGCCAATAGGCTTTTATTGAAAGTTTAAAGATAGCAATAACAACAAAATTTATTGGATCCATGGCATTTCGATAGAGCTCTTCATTTGCTGCCTCTAATTGCGTAACATGAATCACGTAAGAGAAAATACTGATTGAATTCATACAGAAAAAATCGATACAAACACAAGGTCATAAGAAATGGCCGAAAGAGCTAAGGAGAATTTACCTTGCTGTTTAATGAAACAAGAAAACAGAATTCCTCGGTCATCGATTGCTGAACATCTGCTAGACATGGGCCATTCTGTTGACCCCAAAACTTCTTTGCGAGTACTTGTTCGGGCACGCACAACTCGCGCCTTACGCTACCTGGAGGCAAACTACATGCGGCGGTTCAAACCCGACCTATGTAAACAGCTGGAGCATGTATTGAACCTAACTCTGCCGTGGTAACATTGGCTCCCTGTTTACACATTTCCCTCCCAACTTTTTTACTTCAGACGTCTTTCTTCGTATTTTTGCTGACCATAGCGTTTTAACTTCTTATGTTATTGACTAGCCTCTTGGCCATTTCCTATGATCTTGTATTTGTATCGATTTTTCGGTATGAATTCAATCAGTATTTTCTCTTACGTGATTCGCGTTACGCCATGGGAAGCAGCAGCTGGAGAGCACTCTCGAAATGCCATGGATCCAATAAATCTTGTTGTTATTTCTATCTTTAAATTTGCATCTGGGAAACATGGCTTTAAATATTTGTTGAAAGGGCTAAAATTCATACCATCAACATCATTTTGCCTTCTTTTAGGTGCCCAACGAGTACATCCTCGAGCCAGATGACAATGAACTAGAGACTCTGCTTGAGAGCGTTACGGGCAGTCCTGAACAATTCCTGGCTCATGTTCTCCTGGAAGATGTCAGTAAATTATTTTTTAATGAATGAAAACGGTTTATTTAATAATGTGCATATGCTATTTTAGTAGCACGGTTAGATTTCCTGAGTGCCACTTGAACATTAAACTGTCACGATGGTATCTCTCAAAGGAAATGCCTACCAACAAAGGGCCTTGCTTTCACCCGTGCATGGGATGGTTTCCGGTGCTAAACGGACATTCTGATTTTCATAAACGTTGACATTTATCACCCAACCCAACCGCACACGACAATTTTGCATAAATTTCTGCCAGATAATAGAGAGAGAAGAAGGCTTTTTTCGAAGGCAATATCCAATATTTTCAACAAAAATGGCTCCATTAACGGAGAGCAAGGGATAAAGGGAGGCAAAATATAAAGTAAAATATCACAAAATAATCAAATTTAGGATTTACAAGATGTCCACATCTGTTATTGACACAGGTTGCAGTTCAAGTTCCCCATTTCCGTTTCTTCACACGTGAGGTAGCGTGCTAGCAATGGGAGTACAGAGTGCTGATGTATGGCCAGACATCTGACGGAAGCTTCGGCGCATGGTACAGGTAGATTTCGTAGCCATTAGTTCAGAGTGGAGAGAGTGAGCGGTCTCACCTAGGATACGATCGGCAAATTGCTTGACCGTTTTAAAGTGTCGTTGTATTATAATGTCAGCTAAAAAACATAGGAAACACCGGTAGTTGGAGAGAGCGATCGGAGGATACGTTTACTAATGACCAGGTTTTTTTTAAGTAAAGCTGAAAAAATAACTGGAGAGCAGTAGAGAATGAGGGGGAAAATACGGGCATTTATAGATTGCCAGATTAAAGCTTGTGGTGTGTGATGCGAACGCAAGCGGCGGATATAATAAAAACTTTTACGGATTTTCAAAAAAAGCTCTTCAATATGAAAAGTAAATGAAACGTTAGATGCCAGCGTAACACCAAGGTACCGGAAAGAGGATAAGTCGTTGGGCAGAATTTCAATGGTTTCAGGACTGGGAGGGGGTCGCAGTCGACTAACACACTGGGCTGACTTCCGCTCGTTAAGTAGAAGGCTGTTTGCTGACGACCATGCTAAGACGTGGTCCAGACCATCTTTCAGTACTTGGAGATGTATCTGACTTTTGAGAGGATGGCCAACAATCATATCATCAGCATATTTGATAAACAAACATTAGTTTGGTGATCGTAGGTCGTCAGTATGAAGGGAGAAGAGGTGAGGCGATAATATAGACCCTTGGAGAACTCCACAGTTGTTGGGAAGTACCATGGATTTTCGCTTGCCGCACTGAACGAATTGAGTGCGGAAAGTGAAATAGTTCCTGAAACCAAGAGACAGCCCAGCCGGGAAAGCTGCATGCAGAAGTTTTATTAAGAAGATTTTGGCGCAGGATCGTATACAAGGCTGAGGAGTAGTCGATCGTGGTCTGCTTACTCAAACTGACTGTGAACAGTGTGTCGTTACTTCGATGACAGGACGGTAAAAACATTCTTTTTCCCGGCTAGCTGCATATCAAGAGGCAGAAGTCCGTACACATATTCAATTCTTAGGTCTCGCAAACCATGAGCCTGCCTGATCGTGACAAATAAATTGTATTTCCCGTCTATCAGATACTTCTCGCACAGGGCATCGCGTCTTCTAACGCCAACCGACCCAGAAAGTTTCTTAATTGCCGAACTATTTTGAAACCCACTGACTGCTACATTCGAATTCAACGATTAAAAACTGCGCACTGTTTACATCCTTTTTAATAAAAAGTACGTTTTCGCCTACAGTTTGAGAAAGAAGTAACATAGTTCTCAGAAAATGCTGCAATAGGTGCTGAACATGCTTTATAAAGTATAGGCCGCATTAGCGAATTGACGGATGGTACAAATTATAAATAAACATTTCACAATCGTAAACAAGCTCATAATTAGAAATTTTTTAAAACCGAAACAAACCCTTTCTTAAAGTATAGAATTTAAAGAAGACGTAACTTGCTACCAAAAGGATACAAGAAATATTTTTTCCGTTTACGTTTTCCATAAAATATATTTGAATTTACGAAGTAAGTCAAAATCAATCATAAATTATCATACTATTTAATTAGTTACTTTTTACAATAGATACGTTTTGTTAGCGGTCAGGACGAGGCTCACTATAACGCCCGCATCCTATCATGACTGAAGTGATAATAATCAGAACCACAACTTGAGTCAATGCCGATTAACGAGTAAGTATCAAGCTTTCGCATATGTCGGCATGTTGCACGAATTCTGCCGAGTACTATAGTGACTGCATTCCCTGCAACTCCCAACCTTTTCTGCTATTTTCGGATCCGCGACGGTTTTCGAAAGTTCTAGCGAATAAAGTGCTTGCCCCAACGCTCTTATCCACAGTACGGCCGCAAAATTCCAAAATTTGCAAAAGATTTACAATCCCTCGCAAACTGCAATACTAATTATCCTGCAGCCTGATCACAGGTCATTTAAGTCAACGCAGACAACGCGACAACTTAACATAACTATCTTCGGTAAAAAATGACTAGTTAAGCAATATGTATTTACCTTATTGATTTTGATTGATTTTGACTTTGATTTATAAATTCAATTATGTTTTATAGAAAACATTCAAAGCATTATTCTTTCTTGTAATCGTTTGGTAGAAAATTACGCCTTCTTCAAATTGTATCCTTAAAGGAAGGGTATATTTCGATTTGTAAGCAGTTAATAAATTTCCGAATAGTTTTGAAACCTACCAACAGTTACAACCGAAATGCATACTGTGCATATCCTGTGTTAGAAAAAGCAATTTCTTCCCTACGGTGTGATAAGGAGGTCACATGGTTCTCATAAAATTTTTTAAAAACAAACTGTACCCTTCCTTTGAGTATATACTTTGAAGAAGGCCTAATTTTATACCAAAGGAGTACAAGGAACAATGATTTTTGAAAGTTTCTATAAAATATATTTGAATGTATAAATGCAGACAAACTCAATAAATTAAATTCATGTTCTTTCAGTAGTCATTTTTTAACAGAATATAAATCCCGTGAGCGGTCAGATAACAACTCGTTAAAAAAGCCCGCATTCTGCCGTGACCGAAATGATGTGAGATTAGGCTACACGATAATGAATGTTACAACCCTACTTTATGCCGGTGTGCCAGTAATTATTCATCTTTCACAAATTTCAGAATTTTGCATGAAATACCGGCCGTACTGTACGTCTCCTCTATCCAAAGGCCTCTCCGCTCACATTAGGTCACCAGCCGAAGTGTTTGTTTCCGTGCGATAATCTACTAGTAATATTTGCCGTTGTAAAATACTCGTTGACTAATGTGATTAGGGAAGAAGTTGGAATCTGTACCCTCTGTTCCGATCGCCGGCTTTTTCACTACTGAAGCCCCAATCAGGCGTCCGCCCGTCCGCGGCATCTACGTCGCGCCAAAAAGCACACGATCACGCCTTTGAGAGGCGGTGACCTGTGCTGCGCCTAGACGCAGCCAGTCAATGACGCGCGTAATGTTGCGATTACCAATGAACTCTAGGCTGATGCTGATTGGTTCGCACATGCCGGGGAGGCGTGATCAGGCATTAGCGCCCACTGGCC